CACATTGGCTAATTTAGGGAATGATCATGGGTTTGATTGGTATGAGGCATTTTGGGGAAGCTCAAAGCAAAGCCACGAGAGCTTATGCTTAAAGTGGACAATATCATACAATTGTGGAGAGTCGTGATTCCTAACATGGTATCAGAGTCATGCCCTTATCTTAGCCATGTCAATAAGATTCTCAAGCGTCGAACAAAGGTTGTACTTTGTTCGAGGACTCCAGAGAAGGAGTCGAACCTCGATTAAGGGAAAGTTGTTCTAGGGCTCCATGGGTCTCAGGAGAGGCTCTATAGTGTACTTTGTTCGAGGAGAGGATTGTTGAGAGGGAGTCCCATATTGGCTAATTTAGGGAAAGATCATGGATTTATAAGTAAGGAATACATCTTCATTGGTATGAGACCTTTTGGGAAAACCCAAAGCAAAGCCATGAAAGCTTATGCCCAAAGTGGACAATATTATACCATTGTAGAGAGTCGCGATTCCTAACATGGTATCAGAGTCATGCCCTTATCTTATCCATGTCAATAGGATCCTCAAATATCGAACAAAGAAATGGTGATTCTTGAAGGTGTAGTCAAAAGTGACTCAAGTGTCGAACAAAGGGTGTACTTTGTTCGGGACTCCAGAGAAGGAGTCAAGCCTCGATTAAGGAGAGGCTATTCGAGGGCTCCATAAGTCTCAGAGGAGGCTCTATAGTGTACTTTGTTCGAGGGGATGATGGTTGGGAGTGAGTCCCACATTGGCTAATTTAGGGAACGATCATGGATTTATAAGTAAGGAATACATCTTCATTGGTATAAGACCTTTTGGGAAGGCCTAAAGCAAAGCCATGAGAGCTTATGCTCAAAGTGGACAATATCATACCATTGTAGAGAGTCGTGATTCCTAACAGGGTGTGCGTCTTCTAACTCATGACTCGTTGCTTTGTATACACATATACAGGGCTATTTCCTTTCATCATCTCGTGAGCTAACTCGCCTGGACGCTATCACAAAAGCACCTATTATTCATCACTTTTCAGAAAGCATAACTGGAGTAACGACGATACGTTCATTTAGAAAACAAGAGCTATTTTGCGACGAGAATATCAAACGGGTCAATGCCAATTTATGCATGGATTTCTACAATAATGGATCTAAGGAGTGGTTGGGTTTCCGTTTGGAGCTGCTTGGAAGTATCTTCCTCTGTATATCTGCTTTGTTCATGATCTTATTACCAAGCAGTATTATAAACCCAGGTACTCATATTTGGATCTTTATATCTGTAATGAAAACTAGCCGTGTTCATCAGTTATATTGTATTTGATGCAGCAACTGTTGGTTTATCACTTTCATATGGATTATCCTTGAATAGTGCGTTGTTCTGGGCCATTTATGTGAGTTGCTTCATTGAGAACAAAATGGTTTCTGTTGAGAGAATAAAGCAGTTCTCCATAATACCCTCTGAAGCAGCATGGAGGATTGAACACAAACTTCCTCCTCCAAACTGGCCTACCCGTGGTGATGTTCATCTGCAAGACCTGCTGGTAATTATCTATGACTTCTGTCCCGCCTCGTTTTGGAAGAAATGGACTTCATATCATCTTCTCGAGAACGTATTTAGAATGACTTTGATGTTTAAACTTTTGAAACGTTAGAAACTCGAATATGATTTAAATTTTTTGGCTGCAGGTGCGATATCGCCCGAACACTCCATTGGTTCTCAAGGGTATCACTCTAAGCATTCATGGGGGAGAAAAGATTGGAGTTGTTGGCAGAACAGGAAGTGGAAAATCAACTCTAGTCCAAGTCTTCTTTAGGCTTGTTGAACCTTCGGGAGGGAAAATAATCGTCGATGGCATCGACATAGGCACGCTTGGGCTTCATGATCTTCGCTCACGGTTCGGGATCATTCCCCAAGAACCGGTTCTTTTTGAAGGAACTGTGAGAAGCAATGTCGATCCAATTGGCCAGTATACCGATGAAGAAATATGGCAGGTGATCATGCATATATATATATTTACATTAATCTTTCGTGTCTTACATATCATTGGGAAGTGCATTAACACGTAAACGACTACTATCTTTTCTAAGTCTTTCTCTATTTGTAGAGTCTTGAGAGATGCCAACTTAAAGATGTTATAGCTGCAAAACCCGACAAACTCGATGCATCAGGTGCACGCCTTCTCCCGGTCAACGTCTCAAGCCAAATCTTGCTTGAACTTATAATTTTTTTCGATCTGTTCAAAGATGAGTTATTTTAACCAATCATCTATACTATGCCAGTGGTTGCTAATGGAGACAATTGGAGTGTGGGGCAGAGACAGCTTCTCTGTTTAGGAAGGGTTATGTTAAAGCGTAGCCAGCTTTTGTTCATGGACGAGGCGACAGCTTCAGTTGATTCACAAACCGACGCTGTGATTCAAAAGATCATCCGAGAGGACTTCACGACGTGTACGATTATCAGCATTGCTCACAGAATTCCAACAGTTATGGACTGTGATAGAGTTTTGGTTATAGATGCAGGTCAGTGCTCTCGCTCTATCGTAACGTTCGTTCGTTCGTTGATTATTTTCTGGTTAAAATTACGTCTTGAACATTCAATACGAGGTTCTAGTCATTTCCGGGATCACTGCATATCCAATATCATTCATTCTCTTTAGCTCCCTAAACACTTTGTGTACCATGCAACAGGACTTGCTAAAGAGTTTGACAAGCCATCTAAGTTGCTGGAGAGGCCGTCGCTATTCGGTGGGTTGGTTCAAGAGTATGCTAGCCGCTCCACTGACTTGTAACTCACCGTTGTGCATATCACCCACAGGCAAAACTTCCACAAATTAGCCTTTTGGAACAGATTCATCCTTCATTGCCAAAAATCATTATAGAATCCTTCCACTCCACATGTGATTGTATGCTAATATTTGATTGAACCGTTGACAGAATGGTTTGTTGAAAGAATCGATGGTTAAAGATATATTTTTTGTTTTAATTTCTAGAACCGATGTTGGGAGAGAGTCCCATATTGGCTGATTTAGAAGACATATTGAGTTTATAAGTAAGGAATACATCTCTATCGCTACAAGGTACGAGGTGTTTTGGAAAGTCCAAAGTAAAATTATGGAAGCTTAGGCTCAAAATGAACCGGAGATATTGCCATTAAAAATTATATATATAATTGAGGCGGTTCGGTTTGGTCGGTTCCTAATTTCTTTTCTACACACCCTCGGGAAATAAACCCTACGAAATCCGGAACGTGTTCTTCATCTTCTATGTCTAAACCCTAGCCACCAGTTGTTCTCTGAATTCACAGAGCGACAGAGAGAGATGGGAAGGTCTCGAAGAAAGTACAAGAGATCTCGGGCAAAAGTGCAGGTCGGCTTGCCCAAACGAAATCCCAATGTCTTCAAGCCATCTTTCTGTATGCCGCCGAAGCTCCGCTCCTTGCTTGCCGAACAATTTGAAGAAGATCCCGCATGGGACGAGAAAGCCAGTGTCATTCACAACTACAAGTCCTTCGGTGTTCTTTCTAATCCTAATTTGCTCAGTGTTCGTTCCCGAACGGATCACATCGTTGAGAGCGACTCTCTCCAGGTCCCGCCGTCATTGCCGCCTTCCGATGACCCTGATTCGGTGCTTGATTCTTCCGGTAGTGATGTGGAAGAGGACGGTGAGTTTGAGTTTTATTTCTGCTGGTATTCCCGCATGGATATCCTTGTGTTTTGTGAAATTTCTGGATTTTGAAGGAGCGGGATGGTTCGAGGGTAGTTAATGTTAATTAGTTGGTTTCATGGAATATTAAACCTTCTGCTGAAGCTTAAGTGAACGATTTCTCGGTATAGTTTCTGTTGCACTGTTAATTGTTTGGTTTTCTTGACCTGGAAGGATTCACAGCTTAGCAAAGGTTTCACAGTTTCTGAATAGCTTTAAGAAGTGGCAACTTTCCATTGAACCAAAAGTTCATCCAAACTGGGTGGATTTTGTGGGTGATTGATCCTGTTTTGGCAACTTTTTACGCAAGTAGATATTGTCCGCTTGTCCGCTTTGGTCCATTACGGATCGCCATCAGCCTTGTGATTTTTTAAATGCGTCTTTCAGAGTTACGCAATAGAACCGGTACTCATCCAAATATTGTTTTCTTTGAGTTTCCCTTTCAGGGTTTCGGGCTTTCCCTCTAGGTTGTTGAGTTTTCCCTTCTGGGCTTCCCATTATGCCTCTTCCAAGGAGAGGTTGTTCCGTTTGGGATCTCACACTCCTACTCGATGGGTATTGAAATGAAATAGAATGTTGATTGACTTGATATTAATGTCTTATTTGTCACATATGAAGATGCCTATACCAACTTTTGAGCTGTGTTTCTGATTTGATCTTGTGCTGATTCTGTGTTCTTTCTTTTGTGTACATAAGATTTGAAAACAGCCCTTGGAAAGAAGCGCAAAGATGGGAAATCTGCACCTCTAAAACCTTTGACGACGATTCAGCGTGTTCATGTCGGGAGGCTAATCGAGAAATATGGAGATGATCATGAGGTAGGCTTCAGTTTTACTTGCTTTTAGATCGGACTAATTGGCTTATTTTTTCTCACTGAAAGTTGTTCTGCAGAGGATGTTCATGGACACAAAGCTGAACTCAATGCAGCATTCTGTTGCCACTCTGGAGAAACTATGCAAAAGATACCACAGTTGTTTAGATAAGAATCCCTTGATACTGACTCGTTAAAGATCTTTCAAATTGTTCTGTTACTGAGGTGAAATCAGATAGGTATGATCATGAAATCTTATTGAGCAATATTGTTTTGAACCCTAATCTATGAGAGGCTCGAAAGATGGTTCATTCCCTTGCTTGCTGTTTTCTTCCTTTCAAGGAACTGGCCAACCCATAATTCTAATTCTTGGTGGCGTCTAGGATGGTTTGGTTGGAACAACTTTGTAAAAAAGTGAGTGCTACCACTCCATAAAAAGTCACTATAGATATCTACTTTAAGTTCATTTTTAAAAATCTACCAAGAAATTGATCACAATCAAATGGTTATAGATATAGAAGTTCTCATAGATCAATTGCGAACCTGAGGTTTAAGCATATACTCTCGAGGTTCAAGGTTCGAATCTCTTCCACCCTACAAACTAGAAAGAACTTTAACAAGGAATCAGCATCCGGGAACACTTGTCAAGTGACTTTAGCATCAGCTGTAAAATTCTAGAAATAATATTATTTACAGTGTTCATACAAATTGAGAAGAAAAAAACAAGACACCAATTTAGCAGCAATGGTAAGATTTGAGTATTTAGCCATTGTAAGGAGTGATAATATCTACACTCCCATGAATGCTCGAGACATGGATTCCCAGTGCTCCTTTGCTTGCTGAACTCTTTCTGCTCTTTCTGTCTGAAGACGTTTCTCCCAGTATTCAGGGCAGCTATTCAAACATACAAATGATTCTGAGTTGCAAATCTTTATAGAAAAGAAGCATGAAAGAATGTAGAAACTGTTTGAACTTGGTATAGAAATGAACGGTTGTCGGCATACAAAAAGGGTCAATACTAACTTATGGTAGCTTTACGGTTTTGGCGTGGAGAGAAAAATGTAAAAAGTGAAAATGGATATTTTTTATCTTTTTTTTTTTTAAATAAATAACCATGAAGACTTTTAGTGGTGATTAACAAGTCCATGAGTAAGTGTTATCCATTAAAAAAAATTAAATAAAGCCTTTTAAGTTTGTGAAAAATGTTAAGTAGATTCAAAAAAAATTATTTTGTATCTAATAAAATTGACAAAAAAAAAAAAATGCAATTAGTCCCTTAAATTTTTATTAGTACTCATTTTAAAATATTACATATTAATTAGACTTTTAATTTTGTGTGATTTATCAAATGCAAAATTAAAATTTAAGAATTTATTAAACATTTGTCAAAAAATTCATCTTAAACTTTTAATTTTGTGTCTTCAAAGACTTATCAAATACAAAATTAAAATTTAAGAATTTATTAGACACTAAGTATTAAAAAGTTATACCAAAATTATTAAGTTTGAAAAATTATTAGATCCAAGGATGTTATAGACTATGCCTGAGAAACAAGAGATGTACTGACCTTCGATGTAACAGAATACTAAGCTCTTCCAAATGTATAGCACCTTCATAAACTCCTGCCTGTGCATCAATACAAAAAATTAGATCAGAATGAAGTAGCAGAGCTCAGATCCTTTCGAAGTTAAGACTTAATCACAGAAACAAAACTAGCCCTTCGTATGGTATTATAGCTGTTGGTATTAATCTACTTCAGTATCATGTTGTTTATACGATCCTTTTCTTTTTGAACCAAATGATAGCTGAACGAAGTGAAAACTGTCAGAGCTGAATCTAACTTACCTCGCGGCAGAGTGGGCACTTTGCTTTTGGATTTGCAGACATTAGCCCATTGACTATGGTTACTGAGGCTGCCGAACAAGCACACATGTAGCAAAATATATGGCCGCAAGCAAGAGAAACGGGATCAAATACTGTATCCTGCAGTTAGAAAGAGTGAAAAAGCTCTGATGAATAAAGGAAGTTCTCCGTTTAGAAACATTAGGTTCTTCGTGATCTAACATTAAAAAGAAGGGTCCTAATTGCAGGGATGATTTACTCTAATGGGTTAGTTCATTTGAGCAAACTAAAACCTCCCTGGTTGCACCTGGAGTGTTGGAAACTCCAAGAGTTGGAAGCAAGCAAAATGACCTCACATCAATGTTCATCCCAACTTGAACGTCTAAATTGAGTAAATCTGGTGGTTTGACGTAACGGAAAAACTAAATCTTCATCCAACACTAAATCCAAATAAACTAATAATATCATAACAGTGATGCAAACATCTGTCTGCAAGAGTAATGAACACTAAACATGGGACAGTTTCATAAAAATGCCCAAACTTGAAGACCCGAAAACTTACCAAGCATATGGAACACGTCAAGTCGATGTCAAGTTTGACTGAATCGAAGAGCTCACACGTAAGCGATGGGCTTCCATCAGTAATTGCAAGGGAACATTTCTCAAACGCTGAAGAGATACGCTCAGATTTATGCTTTGTCTCCTTCAGGTTAATGTGAAATGCTATAAGCTCTGATAGCCATGGTGACTGAAGGATCTCAACGTGATTACTTTGAGCTTTCGACTTGAATGTTTGCCCTTGCTTGGAGTAATGAATCTGTACTCAGCAACCCAAACAAGAACTAAGTAAAAGAAAAAAGAAGTTAAATCACAAATTTAGTATTAACTTTCATTGTTGAGCACATTGGACAAAAATTGATGGATGAAATGATAGAAGCACAATCTTTTTAAGTAACTTTATTTTGTCCAATTGACCAAATCAACCAACGAATGAAATGGTAGACATGAACATATAGAACCACAAGTTTGAGAATGCAAACCATTCGATTTTAGGAATTGAATTAGTAAATCTAGAAGCGGGAAAAAGACATCATGTGAATCAAACTGGAAATGGTAAGACATATTAGGCAAATACCTTATCATATTTCTTCAAGATTTTCCGAACTGCAATGGCGTTCATCATTGCATAATTAACCAGTTCATTCCCTTCTTGAATTAAGACAGAATGGTCGCTTTCCAGTTTGCCTTTGAACCATAAAAGATACTTTCTAAATCCAGAAGCGAGGTGCAGCTCAAGCAATTCCTGTGCTCGCTGATTAAAGCAGCCTACTATTCCAGACATTTCCTTGAAAAGGAAGGGGAAGAAAGTCCCATCGCACACTACGCCCACAAAAATCAATTTAAACGAAACAAGGACTTAAAATCACAATGCAATATACAGCCAATACAAAGTTCAAAATAACCTAGCAAAAAATCAAATACCAAAAGGACAATCACAGAGAGATCAACAAAATTCAAGAAATCCTTAAATAGGAAGAAGAAACGACGAAGGAATCAGAACATAATCGAGTTTCCATACCTGAACAATGATCCGGACAGCTCTGAACGGCTACGGAGGAGCAATCGCCATCGCCATGGCGGTGTTGAGACTGAAAATCTCTGCTACAATTCTTCAGAATCTTCTTGAGCCGTTTGAACTGAAATCCAGGCAATTTCAGTTTCTTCTCCTGACCTCGCAAATACTCCTCATACTTTTTGCAGAACTTCATCTTCTTCCAGATAATCCACTCGATCTCTCGGCCGCGTCGTTCAAATCTCCCTAAACAATCAACTTAATCTCCGAACAAATGTCAATAATCCACCGCTTGAAAGCTATGCTTTCTCTGCAATCTTAGCGCCTTAAATCGATCAGAATTCAACACACAACAAAAGAATAGATATCACTCTGAGAATGAAGTGAAAAAAAAAAAAAAAAAAAAATCGCAAANNAAGCGGCTGTAACTAAATTGAAAGGAAAATTCAGGTTTCTAATAAGGAAGAGGTTGCGTTTTATTATGTTCCGGCTTAGCAGAATATGAATTAAAAATATTTTTTTAATAAAAAAAATACATATTAAAAAATTATAAGATTTTAAAATATATTTTGAATTTTTATTGGGTAATAAATTTATTGACAATTAAAAAAAAAAAAAAAAAAAAAAAGTCAAATGGCAGGAGGCTTTCGGAAGTATCACCGCCTGACCTCAGCCTCCATATTATAAATTATATATATTTTTATCGTTAAAAATCTTTAATTAAAAATATTATTACGAGAAAATTTTTAACAAAATTAAAATAATTGTTGTTTAAATAAACTTTTTAATAAAATCGACGAATTTGTACGCAGTAAATATACTAATTACCACAAAATATATATATATATATATATATATATATATATATATATTAAATATTATTAATTAAAAATATTAAGGGCTAAATTTTTGTTTTCTAATTTTGAAAGACTATATACATTTCAAATATAAATTTCATATCTGAATATTTCAACCAATTAATATTTCTATTTAACTAATTATATTAATTTACACTAAAGTTTGGATAAGGGTTATTTGTTGAACTTTTGAGGAAATGAAAATAGTTGAAGGATTATTTGTGACATTGATGAATGTCTTCATTTTTTTTGGTAAAATATTTAAATACGGCAATCCTACGAAGACCAAAGCCAGACAGCTGGCGTCCAAACAAATTCCTTTTAAATAAATATTCATATCCGTTTTACACGGAAAAGAAACCGTAAAAGAAAGCCCCGTGCTTATCACGAGACTTTCGTCGGAGGCAAGCAATACCGCCGGCTAACCGACAGAAAATTTAAAATATTCAAAATTAAAAATCTTAAATTTGGAGTATTCAACACAAATTATAAATTAAAAATTAAATCTATTAGTAAGTTGACATTTTTGTCAAACCAATTAAAAAATGTGTTATAATCCAACTCACCATACTTTACTTTCAGATTATTATGAATATTAATAATTTTGACGTAGGTGGCTATTGTTAAGGATGTGTTGTAACTCGTTCATAAAATTTTAATTAATTTAATTTAAAAATAAAAAGTTAGATCTAACTAAGTCACTAATAAAGATAACTCAAGATTTTCTCAACCTAATCTAATCCAACTCAGTCCATGTGTACTCCTACTTTCTTTTATATATATATATATATAAATTATGAGTCTCACTTCTTATTTATTCAAAAAAATATATTCAAAAACTCGAATGGATGAATAATTAAAACGGTAAACGAAACATTCATTTGAGTTTATCAAGAAAGATATGTATGTCAACATTATGATGTTCTATATTGGATGGGATGCATGCGTGTGACTTTTCAACTTTATTTTTTCTCTTTTTGAGTAATATTTAAACTAAGGAATATATTTTTTAATTATTAATGGAAATTATGTGGTAAATCATTACAATTTTGAATAAAAATTATATTGAAAAATAAAAATTTTAAATACTATTTTTTAAAGAATATTAAACATATAAAATTAAATGGAAAATTTTATGTGGTTGAAAAATGAAATAAGTGGCGGGATGGACATCTTTAAACGTAGGTAAGATATATTAAATATAAATATTAATAAAATTTAAATAAGTTAAATACACCGTTATTTAAATAAATAATATACATAATAATATAAATATATTATTTAATTTTCACACAAATTTCCATTAAATGGTTTGTTTGGGGATGTGTATATACAGTAAATCACATAATAATAATAATGGAATGAAAAATATATATCATGCAATAAAATTAAATATAGTAATTATTTGTTCTATAAATATTGGATTTACCATAGGAGAAAAGGCGAAGAAAAAACAATGACAGAGAGACGGACGATGATAAAGAAATTGGAACAAGCAGATATGAATGGACTATTGCAGCTGAGAGAAGATGACGTAGATACTGACATCAACACAAATTTATTAGGTGGTGGCCTCGGAGTAAAATTAGGGATCTAAAGAAAATTACTTTGTTCGATGAGAACACGAACGAAGTCATGCAAACAACCATCAGGTGGCTCGGGATGCTTCATTACCCTATCGAACGGGACGTCAAAAACAAACCTTATACGTCTAGACAAGATATGTTAATGGGTTGAGATCTGAAGTATAATTGAATTGTGTAATTAGTATTGCTATTTCTTATTTCTTATTTCTTATTTCTTATTAGATAAAATAGAAAAGTGTGTGGTTAATAATTTCTTGTAATTTTAGATGACATAAAACTAATTCAAATTTTTGTTTTATATTTATCTTTAAATATTTATTATTGCCTTTTATTAAGTTAGATAACAAAAATAATAAACAATAAATTTGATATTGTTGTTTTATAAATCAATTATGAAAATATCTCTACTTCTAAAAAAAATAAGAAACGAAAAATAGGAAATTCATTGGCTGCCACGTGTACAAAGGTGTCGAAGTATCTCAGTGACATGTAAGAGTCCCTTGCATGTATGGCCAAACTTGCTGACACGGCTGCCACGTGGACAAACCCTTCCCTCGAACAATAAAAACGCCGCGTTCTCCTTCTCCTCCCCTGTTTTAAACCAGTTCAACAATCCCAAAAAACAGGCGGCGTTCTGGAATCGTTTGGCGGCGATGGCGGTAGAGGCGGCGAAGCCAGTGATGGTGATCGGAATCGACGACAGCGAACACGCAGTTTCCGCTCTGGAGTGGACATTGGACAAATTTTTTTCTCGAACAGTACGATTACAACCGTTTAAGCTTGTCGTTGTTCATGTCAAACCATCTCCCGACGTCTTCGTCGGCGTCTCCGGACCAGGAAGTAAGAACGATCCTCCTTCTCTCTGCTATTTACTTTCAAACAGAAATCGTTCCAAATCTATAATCGAGTTTTTAAAGAGACGACTAATGAACTCGGAATCTACAATCAGGAATTGCAGGATCGGTTGAAACCTACCAAGCTCTGGATGATGATTTGAAGAGAAAAGCTGCGAGAACTATCGAACTTGCCAGAGAAATTTGCGCTGCGAAATCGGTAACGGTGGAGTTTAGATTTCTCGATTTACCTTATTTCAGTCTTTTGAATCGCGGATTGAATGGATACGAACTTGTGATGATTCTCAAATGCGATCCAATTGTAAATCCTAGATTGAGAAAGTAGAAATCGTGTAGATCGATTTAAGAATCTGTAAAGAACAGAGAGCACTAGCAATGGAGTTGAATTGCAGGTTTTTGATGGTGAATTCGAGGTTGAAGAAGGAGATGCAAGGTATGTACTGTGCGAGGCGGCTAATAAGCACCGGGCTTCAGTGATCGTAGTAGGAAGCCGTGGCCATGGAGCTATTAAACGGTACTTTCTCCAGAACTAGTAAATTTTTGTCTCTTTGTTTAATTTCGGTGTGTGGATGTGGATGTATGAGTACCTATCAGAACATTTTGCAATTGGGTATCATATTTCTTTTGGTCGTTGTATTTCACTACAACAATAGGTATCATATTTGAAGGTTAATGGGTATCATATTTGAAGTGTGTGGCGGTTGGTTGAACACGATTCTTCAGCAACAGGATCCACAATCGTATGATATGTTCCACTTTGAGTCTAAGCTCACGTAATTTTGTTTTAGGCTTCTATAACACCATGACGTAAAACAATCTATAACACCTTGACTCACTTGAATGATTGCTTAATTAAAAATTTTAGTCCAAAATTGTAATGGGAGTTCATAGTAATGCAGGGCTTTGATGGGAAGTGTGAGTGACTATTGCGCACATCAAGCACCTTGCAGTGTCATGATTGTGAAGATGAAGGAGCGTAGCAACAAAAACAGTGCTTAAATAAATCAAAATCTGTATTTCTGTTTGTATTTCTGAATGTTATTGTATTTTTAAGATGGGATACTTAAAAATTATTTAATCTTTTTAATTTTCTTTTTAAGGCATTTCTGACTTTAATTTAAATATATATATAAAAACTTTTTGGTTTATTAAGTGAGTCACTATATTATCAATTATTCTAATATTTTATTCTCATTATTACCCACTTTAGTGAATAATGGAGGTCAGGGTTGGAAAATAGTAATAATTAAAAAAATATCCTCAATTCCTTGTTTTCTTTTTATTTTTTAATTTAATTTTTTTAGTTAATTAAAATCAATCAACCAATATATTTAAGTTAGCCTACCCCATGACTAATAAATTCTTCGATATTTTTTTAAATATTTCTAAATTTATTTGACACATTAAAATTTTGATGTCTGATCTAATAGATTGATTATTTTTTTATGACAAATTATCAGGCATACACATCCACCACTTTTATCTATCATTTTGATGTCCTTCGAATCCAATACGTCTCGTCGACGTCGTTGGCCTTTCTAGTGCTTATTTGTACTCTCCGTACTCTCCTCTTTTAAGATCCAAACGATATCGTTGGCCTTTCTAGTGCTTATTTGTAATCTCCTCTTTTAAGATCCAAACATAGGCTAAACAATTAAAATTGTTTAGTTTAATTATGTTTAATTTAAAAAATAAATTAACTAATTTTGAAACTCTATGCTGTTAAAATAGGTTGATATGTATATATATATATATATATATATATATATATATATATATATATATATATATATATATATTATTTTTATTTTTTTGAAAAAGAAAATTTAAGAATAACTATATTTTTTAAAGGATATTAATAGATAAAAATTATTGTGAGGGATCCAAATTTTACAGATAGGTGCTGGGATGGACCTCTCTAAATGTATGTAGGATATATTAAATATAAATATAAATGTGATTTAAATAGGTTGAATATAGGATGAGATTTTATGATATTTTAATGAGATTTAAATAAGTAATATATGAATATAAATATATTATTTAATAATTGTTTGTTTGGTGTAAATTTTCCTTAGATTTACTTGGGAGTATCTTGGAAGTAAGGCATGTTAAGATGGTAAATCATATATGTTAATAATAATAAATGGAATGAAAAAGATATATCATGCAATCAAATTAAATACAGTAATTTTTTGTTCTATAAATATTGGATTTACGGTAAGAGAAAATATAAAGAAAATAAAAATGGCAGGGCAATGGACGATGATAAAGAAACTGGAAGACGCCGATATGACTGGACTATTGCACCTTAGAGAAGATGATGAAGATACTGACATCAAAACAAATTTATTTAAGTGGTGGTTTCGGAGGGAAGTTAGGGATCTAAAAAGAACGGTCGGAAATGAAGCGAATTTCACTCTGTTCGATGAGAACACGAACCAACTCATGCAAACAACTATAAAGTGGCTCGGAACGGTCTTTTACCAAATCAAATGGGACGTCCAAAACAAACCTTATGCGTCTGGATATAATATGGTAATGCGTTGGGATCTCATATATAATCGACTCGTTTACAGGGTCTTTCAAACAAAACTTCTAGAAGCAACAAAATCTCCCGAATTTAAGGGCGCATCTTCAAGCTCGTCTTAATCTAAAATTTCCTACTCAAAATATTTTTTATTAATATTAATTTCTATCTAAATTACTTTTTTTATATCATTCACACACAAAATTATTCACTCCAACCTATTTGGTATTTATATATTTATAAATAGATTTATAGTTTTAAAAAGAGACTAATGGAAGCCACGTTTAATTTTACTTCTTTTGGCCAGGTGGGCAGTAGATCTCCAGTAAAACGACGCCGTTTTCCCTGGTTTAAATAGCTCCGTACATAAAGAAATGAGAAAAGTTTCAACCAATTTATTACAATTAAATAATTAATATAATAATTTGTAAAATAATTCATTATTTAAATTAATAAATAAATTAAAATTAAGAGATGAAATGTTATATAAATAAATATTTTTTTTTTAGTTCTAACGATTACTTTTAACCCTTTGTTATTAGATAATTAATTGTTAGTTAATTCATTTTTATTAAGTCAAATTATTAAACTAATTGATTTAATTTTCATTCATTAAAAAGTATATTATAAATATTTTTAGTGGTCAATATTAATAATTATTTTCAAATAAATAATTTATAGGAAGATAAAAAAGAAAGACATTAATAAATATAAATAATAATGAAAAAACGAAGATAAATAAATAATTGGAGGAACCAATAATACAAATCGAAAAACAACTAAATAAATAAATGAAAAATGCATAATAATAATAATAATACTAATAGAAAATTCTCGAGCATACATAGTTTATGTAAATTGACATTCTTTTAATACGTGCCCGAACATGCGTCACTAATTTCTGGATAATATGTTTGAATGATCTTGTAAACCAATCGATTATACCTGAGATCCCAATACATTAACATATCATCTCCAGGCGAATAAGGTTTGTTTTGGATGTCCCATTCAATATGGTATCGAGCCATCCCGAGCCATCTCATAGTTGTTTGTATGGCTTGGTCCATGTTCACGTCATACAGATTGATTCTCACTTCACTCCCAACGACTCTCTTCAAATCCCTAACTTTGCTCCGAGGCCACCAGTTAAACAAATGAGCCTTGATGTCAGCATCTTCATCATCTTCTCTTAGTTGCAATAGCCCATTCATATCTGCGTCTTCCAATCTCTTTATCATCGTCCAGTCGCCTGCCATTGTTATTCTCTTCTCCTTTTCTCTTACAATAAACTCATATTTATAGAACAAATAATTGCTATATTTTTATTTTATTACATGATATATATGTATATTTCCTTATCTTTTTTTATTCCATTAAAATTATTAGCAAATGTAATTTACCATAACTAGAAAACTTAATTATATTTTTTACCAAAATTAAAATTATAAATCATATTAAAATATTGAATCTCATTTATATTTAATAAATTTTACATATATTAATTTTATACATCAAATAAAATAAATATAGATTTTATTTTATATATAATATATTAAATATTAATTTTTTCCTTTTAAGATTTAATATATCAAATATATTTTCAATATTTATTTAAACATTTAAAAAAAACTAAATTGATAACAAAATTATTTAATTCGTTGGACTATATGCCTCGAGTTGCACTCTGATACATTGTATAACAAGTTGTGTTCATTAATATGATCATTATATATACGTAGATCTTTCACAAGTTGTTTTTAATTTCACTCGATCAAAAGAGTATATTTTAACCTTATAATTACATCTTATATCTTTAATGCCATTGATTCTCTTATTAACCTTTTGTTTATGATGGAACATAAACTAAGTAATTATGTTCTCAGCTCCCTATTTGGTCAAGACTGCATTTGCAACTGATTTAATAACTATTCACTCAACCAATATTGTTCAAAATCAAGTCCTAATTTTGTATGTTCAAAATCATGTTTTATTAGGAGATTACTTATCGGGTATTTTTTAATATTCAACCCTGAATTTGTAAAAGTCTTTTTTGAAATTTTGTAGATTTTTATTTATTTATTTATTTATTTATTGATTTAAGTGAATAGATTATAGACTAAAGAACTGAGGGAATCGACTCGAAGCCACGTGTACCGACGTGTCACAATAATTGGATGACATGTAAAACTCTTCTTCATTTTCCCGGTGACGCAAGAGTGGCCACGTGGACAATAGATCGCCTATAAAAACGGAGCCATCTTCAATCCCGATTTAAACCGCTTCATACATCCAAGAAAAAACCAACGGCGGCTGTGGAATCGTTCCAATGGCGACAGCGGAGAAGCCAGTGATGGTGATTGGAGTCGACGACAGCGAATACGCAACCTATGCTCTAGAATGGACACTTGACCACTTCTTCTCTTCAACAGTGAATCCTCCGTTCAAGCTTGTCGTCGTCTACGCCAAACCGTTTCCCGACGTCTTTATCGGAGTCGGCGGACCTGGAAGTAAGATCAATATTGCTTCTCTCTGGTAAATTGTTGATCGATGCATTTTTGCTTAAGCGATGTGGTAATGAAACCGGAAATTGTAACCAGTGATTGTAGGATCTGCTGGAAGTTACCAGTTTCTGAACGATGATTTGAAGAAGAAAGCTGCGTTGATCATCGCAACTGCGAGAGGAATCTGTGAATCCAAATTGGTAACAGAATCGAGTAAAATTGCTTGATTATGATATAAATTGTTGGAGTCTGGAATGGTTGAATTTGATTGTAAATCATTTTGTTCATCTGAAGAAAGTTGAAACCGATTTAGACTTTTGGGAATCTGTACGGAGAGTGAAGAGAAAGATGAGAACAGAGATCGATTTTTTGATCTCGAAATCTGTCCGTACGGAGATCTGTGAATCCAAATCGGTAACAGAATCTCTCTGTACGGAGATTGAAGAGAAGGATGAGAATAGAAATCGATTTTTGATCTTGAAATCGATTTTTGATCTTGAATTCTCGCTATACGGAGAATGTATAGAATGATGTGAATAGAAATCGATTTGTTGATCTCGAATTCTCTCTTGTGTTCATCAGTTCCAGTTGATGGAATTGGAATTTCGAAATGAAAAATGCAGGTGAATGATGCAAAATTCGAGGTGGATGAAGGAGATGCTAGGTATGTCCTGTGTCAGGCGGTGGATAAGCATAGGGCTTCAATGCTTGTGGTGGGAAGCCATGGCTATGGAGCTGTAAAGAGGTACGTGGTTTAAGCGCATTTTAGAGGGGGAAAAGAACAAATGATTCAAAAAACAAAAACTCGTTGAAATCATGATTAGTTTCAATGGATGAATGCAGGGCGTTCTTGGGGAGTGTGAGTGACTATTGTGCTCATCAAGCTTCATGTACCGTCATGATCGTCAAGAAGCTGAACCCCAAGGTTGAATCAAAAGAACAAAAATAGCTCAACTTTCCCAATTCTCCTTGTTTTCTTCGAGTCTTTAAATCAAGAACTATTCTCTTTAAATCAAGTAATGCTGTTCTATTATATTATGTATTATGTATGTATATTTTCCCAATGTTGTAAACTGTCACAATAATAACAAAATTTGTACGGTCTACCTTCCATTAATATTCTAGTTTTTAGAATCTTTGTTCTCGTAATTGACATACAAAGCATTGGGTTAAGTTTTTTGAATGGAAATCTCGCTTAACTAGCGAACCATACAAATAAAAATGAATAATTCTCTACGTCATCGTTACTTCATAATTGAAAGTTCAACAATTTCCCTCCATTCACATTTTTAGCATGTTTTAATCATTTTCGTTTCAACATTTTTATAAAAATATTCATAAAACGTTTTTATAAAAATGATTGCTTGCGCTCATCCAACCCCTCCTCTCAAACGAATGATGTCTTCCCTCTTTCAAGGTCTCTTCTCAATCGAGACAGACTTTCTTCTCTTGAGGATGTATAGATATTCTCTCATTAACCGACATGAACATTCATCCAACAAATTCAATAAAAATAAAATTAAAATTAAAAGAGAGAAACAACAGAAAAAATTTGTATTACATGTACTCGCACTAAAAATTATTGAAGGATGGTGGTCGACAAATTTTCTTAGAGAAAAGGTGCCATTGTATTGCTGGTAGCCACGTGGGAAGAGGTGTCACAGCATTTGGGTGACATGTAAGAGGCTCTTTCGTTTTCAGGGTTGCTGCATGCTGACAATACCTGCCACGTAGACAATTTCACCTTTAAAAACAAAAATAAAAATAAAATAGCTCATTTTCTTCTTCTTCCTCCCCAATTCAAACCGCTTCACATAGGAATCGATCCAATGGCGGCGACGGAGAAGCCAGTGATGGTGATCGGCATCGACGACAGCGAATACGCAATCGCCGCTCTGGAGTGGACATTAGACCACTTCTCTTCAACGATATATCCTCCTCCTTTCAAGATCATCGTCGTCCACGCCAAACCGATTCCCGAAACCTTCGTCGGAGTCGCCGGACCGGGAAGTAAGATCGATCTCCTCCTCCTCATCTGATCTGCTAATTCCTTAATTTCATGTTCGAAAGTAAATAATTGAGAAATTATATGCAATCAGTGGTTTTTGGATCGGAGCCTGGATTGTACCAAGTTTTGGACCAGAATTTGAAGAGAAAGGCCGCCAGAATCATCGAGAAAGCGAGAGAGATCTGCGCCGCTAAATCGGTAATCGTCGATCTGTAAAATCCATGAATATGAACGGAAATTTGAGTGAATTGAATCAAATTGAAATTACAGGTGAGTGAAGTGAAGTTTGAGGTGGAAGAAGGAGATGCTAGGTATGTACTGTGCAAGGCGGTTAGTAAGCACAATGCTTCGATGCTGGTGGTGGGAAGCCATGGCTATGGAGCCATTAAGAGGTACTTGCTTTAAATTTTCTCTTTTTAAAAAATAACCTAAATTTGTGTTTATAGTTTTAAATTTCTGTGTGTTATCAATTTCATCGCTGTCATTTAAAAAAAAAATGATTTGTCTTTTTTTAATTATATGTTTTAATTAAATGGCAAGTATACATCTATATCTAGTAACTTCCTACCTTACTTATTTTAACTATTTTGATATATAATTGGAAGTTTAATATTTTATAAAATAAAAATTTTAATTTTGTGTTTAATAAATTCATTAAATGATTTATGATTTATTAGATATTTTTTATTAAACAATTTTTAATTTGAAGTAAAAAGTAAAGAGGGGATAATGTGCAGGGCTTTGTTAGGGAGTGTAAGTGATTATTGCGCGCATAATGCTCCATGCACTGTCACAATTGTGAAGCTTAAAACTGGCACCTGAAACAATCAAAAACTCCAGGTAAGCTGCTTCTTGTTCTCCACTGTAAATAAAATAAGTGCATTTTTCTTCCCCCCCCACTTTTTTTTTTTTCCTTTTTCTTTAATAAATATTTCTTTGTAAATTATTTAAACTATATCCATAGAAATTATTAATAATAATAATAATAACGAAGCAGCTGATCATGAATTCGTTATTAGTTTATATATATATATATATTATTGATACTCTCGCACTGTTTTGGGAATATTAATTAATTGTTCATATTGATGCCCAATAAAGCATATGAAAATATCAATACGTATATTACAACAACAATCTGAAAAAGTTGGGTACGACTTCCAGTTGTTTCCGTTAATCCATTTCAAATGAACTAATTTCTCATTAATCTGAAATTATGTATACAAAATATCTCGTGAGAAGATGATGACATTTTTTATAATCACATCAACTTTCAGTCTTTGATTTGAATTTCATCTCAACTTTTTTCATTACATTTAAAATTCAATTCAGAACGAGTTCCTAAAATCAAAAGATATTCGTACTTGAAAAAACGAGTACAAAATGACGTCATAAATATTGATATCACTCATAAAACAGGTGTAAATAAACAAAACTAACCCAAAATTAATTATTTGTTTACAACCATTAATTATATTACATATATGTAAAAAAGTGCTGATGAGGAGTGTAGTTTTAAATTTGAAGTAGCAATATGGAAAATGTGAATTTGGGGAAAACATAAGATAGAAGCGTCTCCAACCTGAGAATATCCTAAAAAGAATAGCACACATGAAGAGTCCAAACAGAACATAGATACTATCAGGTTTAACGAAAGTCTATTCCAGATAAGTTCACAGATTAATACTCTTATTCCAGCTTCACTCCATGGCTACGGAAATCAACAGCTGCCTCCATCTTCTTCATCTGTTCAAACAGTTGACTCAATGTCAGAACAATTCCGCCACAAAATGTTCCAGCTAAATTACACCATTATTCTTAATAGGACGTATGCAAATTAATGGGCATTTAGAGTGTCCCAGTAAAGCAGCAGAAATTTAAAAACAAAATAAGAGAAAGCTCTACCGGGAAGGACTCTTGCTCTTGCTCCTGCTAGGGCTTTTGCTTGCTTCACGCCTTTTTGGACTTTTACTCGTGCGTTTCTCACGCTGCCATGTAAACCGTATTCATACGTTGACAGACACGAAAGACATATCAATTAAATCAAAAGGCAAATGAGATGCAAGTTTAGTTTAAACTTCTAATACCATGTCCAGCAATGACAAGTTCATAACAGGGATCACTTACATTGGGTGCCGGAGACCTGGATTTTGATCGCGATCTGCAAAAGGTTCAGAAACAACCCAAATTTAAAATCCATGTCTTTTACCAAATTGAGCCTAAAGCTTGACGACTAATCCACATTGTATAAGGAGATAAAAGAAAATAGTATTTTAGTAGTTCAGCTATGAAGAAGATATGGCAATTCAAAACTTAAAAGATCCAACTGCGAAGACCTAAAAAATTAGAAAACTTCGTTCCCCAGGAAACTATATATATGGAAGTCAGTGGACGGGAGAGGAGCATTCTTCCCTACTGTGCCTCAAAAGGTCCATTATGAATCCAGATAGTGCGTCCTATAGCTTGGCAAATCTTGCAGCAGAAAATGTAAATGAAAGTGATGATGACTTCCAAGTCCAAATAGCACTTAGTTCAAGATATCCAGCTCTATTATTGCAATCCATGATCTTCTTGGATCCCAATCTAGCACCCATGGACATTGCATTGCTAAAAGCATTAGAATAGAGGTACCAGAAGGTTTTCAAAGCTGCCCATCTAAAAAACAGCATACCTTCTCACCCAAAAGCATTGAAGACAATTGAATCATATTCCATCAAGATCCTAATATCCAATCCCCAGTATGCCGCATATTTCCATATCTAAAAAACAAACAAGTGATATTCACACACAAAGAGGACAACAATGAAAGAAATCGACTCATTTCTTAACTATCCCAGTTGTTGAACAACATTCACAATTGATAAAGGGGAAGGACCAGGACGAAGAGTTATTAAAAAGAAAGCAGAATCATATGTAAAATAGTAATAACTAAATTGAGTCAAATAGATAAAGTTTACCCAACATTCCAATAGAGGGCCGACACATTGCCCAGACTAATTTGAAGTCTGTCCAGTATTCATCTCTCCACCATTCCAAGAATGCATCCAAGACTTGGGAAGGGTGGGTTTCACATTCAAGAGAATTGTACAAGCCATAATACCGCATGCAAACACATAGCATCCAGAAAGGTAATATCAAATCCATTGCTAAACTTAAAACCACTTGCTGGCCCGTGCTTGAGCAATACAAAAGTATTAGTTCACTTTCAGTACATTAATGTTGTCTATTTGACCCAGTCTAACATTCTGCCCAATGATAGACGGGTGCAAAAAACAAATCCTGCTCGAGTGACAACAAACTCAAATATATAAATATAGATAAACAATGAGCAGGCCGCAGTTAGATTTTATTAAAAAATAATAATAATAAAAGTGAATAAAATAAAACTAAAGAACATAAGAATGAATGATTATAGTTAATAAAATGAGAAAACATACCCTGAAAGAGATGATGACTTCGATCGTGAACGAGCAGGGGAAGCAGACCTTGATCGGGATTTTACAGGTGACCGCTGGGAAGATTTACCCTTAGGAGACTTGCTGCTCAAAAAGTAGATAAAATATTTTAATTCAAGAGAGGATTGTGCTAAGACTAATTAAATACTAAAACATATACCTACCTCCTACTGCGACTCTTGCTCCTACTTCGACCTCTACTATGACTGCGACTGTAACTCCGCCCTCTAGAGTATGACCGCCCACGACTAGGACTCTTGGATGAATCCCTCTTTGAATCATATTCCCTCACCTACAAAATTAAAATTAAAATAGGTGAGAGACAAGAAAGCAATCATAAAAAAATAAAAATAAAAATTATAGAACAAGAAGGCATTGTTCATACACGAACATAAGACCGGGAAAATGCATTACGGAACTCAGAGTCATCCAGTTTTTTAATCTGCAGTGACAAGTACACATATCTTAGCATATCACAAAACCAAAGCTTAAGCTCTTGAAGTCATAGGGGCAATCCAGTATGCCAGGTGCTCATTAAGGCTCAACATTCCAAAATTCTTGGAACAGAGATAAAAATGACTTACTGCATACTTCATGTCATCATAGTTGGTGTAATCCACAATCCCTGTGGTTCCTACAGGACATTGAAATGAATAGCTATTTAGTTTTCAATGTCAAGTTAGAGAGAATTCGAAGTCAGCTTCATCAGTAGGTATCTTACCACTACCATCACGGAACACTTGGGAGAAACAAACATCCCCAGCTCGCCGCATGTGATCCTTCGACATTAAATAATATGAGATCAGTGTTGATTAAAAAAATTTGAGTGACAGGCACATAAATTTCATGCCAAATAGAATGATGCTTACCTTTAAGTCTTGCCACGAAGCAGAAGAAGGTAACCCTGTGACTAATACTACATGGATAGAAAAACATATATTACAACATCCAGTATTTACAATGTCAGAACATTGTATGGTGCATCACAGAAATGGTCATATACCACGAAAATCAGAGCGTCGAGATACTCCACGCCCACCTCGGCTGCTTCCATGACTACTATAACGATCACTAGACGATGAATGACCACGACCACCATGAGCAAGTTCCACCTAAAAATACAAACAAACAATGCATAAACTACAACTATAAAGCTATCAAGTACAAAACAATCAATTTTTGCAACAATTGAAAAAGACTTCGTGACTCACGCGCAACCTATGGCCATCAAAATCATAGCCATCGCGACCACGAATTGCATCTTGAGCATCTTCCGCATCTTCGAACTACATTCACTCAATCCATATTGATAACATAAGTAATGAGTGTTAGAAAAGAAAGAGAATATATAGTACCACCACATGTGAAAAAAACTCACCTCAACAAATGCATAACCAGGAGGCCTCGGTGGAACCTTGAGATCAATGTGGGCTATGCGACCATACTAGAATTAAATGCCAAGAGAGAACAGACTTAAATTAAATACTTTGACCAAATAAAACTCCAAACTTATTTTAATTCTGTCTCAGATCATCTTGAACCTTTAAGAAAGAAACATCACATAATATACATCTATATTTTATTTTTTATAAGAAACTAAGTTTTCATTGTGATAAATGACAGAACTCCAAGAGAGTGATGCCAGTTGATAATAACAAAAGGCTCAATCAACAAACCACTAAAAGGAATTAAATATAATCGCCTCCCACCTTTCTAACTGTCGAAAGATTTTGCTATTCCTCTCAAGTTAAATGATAACATAATGGGGGAAAAAACAAGTTCGCTATGGGATCATTGCTCTGTCAAAAAAGGAGGGTTCAGGTGCACCCCTCCTAAATCATGGAACACCACCCTCTATTACGTGTTGGCAACACCAAAAAAAAGTCTCTAGAGATGGTCCTTAGTATCCACCCTCCGGTGCAAAACTTGTCACTTACAGCATTACACTTAGGAATTTTAACCTTCCAAACAGACCCTAAATTTCCACGCGTATTTAGGTGCTTGTTAAATTATTTATAAAAGATCATTAACGGTAAAGACATAATTAACTCCCAGAACTTTCAAATTGTACGAGTATGTCCCAAATTAACTCTCGAAGGATGTCTAGCATTTAAACATACGTCTATAATTTAAAAGTGGGAATTACTCCTACATTTGTAAGGACTGCATTAGTTATAAGGTCATCACAATTATCGAAATCAAAATACTTAGCGTTCTACGCTTGCACTCCTACTTAAATAAGAACAATTTTACAGTCGACTCAATAAAGAAAATTCATCATCCATAACATGCAGCACCAAAATGACAGACAATTACATGGTTTAAGCGCTCCACACAGGCGCCAAAACGTCATGCGCAAACAAAATTAAGAAAAAATACCTTGTAAAATAAATCTTCCACTTCTTTCTCACGAATATCACCCGGGAGATTGCCAACATAGACTGTTCTGCTGGCACGGCTGCTCATTTTCCCTAAACAGATGAAACGTAGATATGGATAACATTACCGAGAAACGGAGAACGTAGAAACAGAATGTTTTGTACTCAAATTAATTAATCAAGATTCGACGTTTGATTGAAGGTTACCTCAAATCCGATCTGTAGGTGACAAAGCGCAGAGACGAGAGGACTGAATATTAGGGCTTTGAAATCGAAGATTGGTAGCGCGAGTAAATATATAGTACGGTTATGATAATCTGCATCGCGTTGCACAGTAATTTGCTGGATGTTACTAACTACACATAATATGTGCCATGTGGCAATCTTTTCCTAAAATAAAATCCGCATATTTATCCCCTTTTTGCACCCAACCCCCCTCGATTGTGTACGTATTCCACATCAGACCCCTAACTTTTAAATATTCTATTTTAGACCCTAATTTTTAAATATTAAATAAATTTTGAGAGTGACTTTTAATCTTTACCCAGTATGGATATTTATCGTTAAAAAATAATGGAGTTTATATTCCATATAATATTATCATTAGAATCTAAATATCCATATTCTCGTAGTACTAGAAATGTACTAGAAATTCCCTCCATGACGTGTCACGTGATTTCAAGTGCCTCTTTGCTTCGCACTAATTGAGCTCCTTTCTAGCTTCAACTCGATCTTGGACCAAACCGTTCAAGCTCTGAAATTTCAACCAAGAAGACCTGTTTTTACTGTGGAAACCAAATAAGTCGGGTAATATGATAGGTAAATTTTTGTTTTCCCATAGTAAAGTGAATGATCTTCCCCCTTCTGAACTTGTTTTTGGTTAGAAGTCCAATCCATGTACAGAATCATGATCTATAAGTCAAAGATGTATGGTAAATTCTGGTAACACAGATGCCAAATTGTCCTAGATTTCCTTTATTCCAAAGTTCATGAGAACATGAACAAGACCCTTTTCCCCACTATATAATCCACCCCCAATACTCATTAGTTCTCCCATTAATTTAAAAATCGCATTCACAAACCACAAAAGTGTGCTGATATTATAGAAAGGTAGTTTCCATTTCCGCACCCCTTTTCCACCTCTCCAACTCTCTACTTCTTTCGGACATTTCATCGAACATGTTGCGTGCACCCAGTTCGAGAGCATCAATTACAATCATTTTTGCCCTCATCTCCATTCTCCCATGGCCGACACACTCCGCCAAAACGAGCTATGTCCAAGAAGCCTGCAGCGTAACACAACACCAAGATCTCTGTATCCAATTACTGTCGCCATTTTCAAGCAGCGCCAAGCGAAGCCCCACGAAATGGGCGCGAACGGGCGTGTCGGTGACAATATCAGAGGCTAAAACCGTGGCGCGATTCCTGGGGAGGGTGAAGAACAACAAGCGGCTCATGGGGAGAAACAGAGCCGCAGTTTCCGACTGTGTGGAGGTCTTCGAAGCCGCCATTGATGAGCTCCACAGGTCGCTTGGGGTTCTTAGAAGACTGAGTAAGAGGAATTTTGACGCCCAAATGGGGGATCTCAATACGTGGGTAAGCGCTGCGCTGACCAATGAAGATACTTGCGTGGATGGCTTTCGAGGGGAAAGTGGAAAAGTATTGAATTTCCAAACTGGCTGCTTCCGGTTTCCAAACTGCCCCTAATCAGTAAGAGATTAAACATAAATACACAATATAATACTACCCTAAAAAGAAATAAATATAATTGATATCATAACTTTATAAAGTAAATATTGGGCTTCAAAATTGGAGGGGTGCATCAGGCCCAAGCTATGGTGCAACGCATGGGCGACGTTCGAGAGCCCCAGTAGCAAGCTACTGTAGTGGACCCTCCCCCTTGAAAAATTAATTTAATACCATGTGGGCCGATGGCCCACGTATCAGATATTAAACTGATAAGAACAGATACTACACTTGATCTTAGCCAAAAGGCCGAGAAAGGTATGAATTGTCCAGCGTTCCACCAGCATATTTATAGCCTCCTGCTCTCTCCATTTTCTGGAACTAATCGATGTGGGACAAAGCCTTATTTCACCTTCTCATCGTTTTCGTCTTCTCCTCGCAAGTATAGAAAATTTGCAAAGTTTCCAACCATTGTTATTAATTTTGTGTCATATATTTTCAATTAAAAGATTCAAAATCTTTAAACTCCCACGTACTTAGCTAAGAAAGTTTAGTTTATAATCTTAATTATAGCATGATAAATCAATTGTATATGTTGTTAAAATTTCATTTGAACATCGTTAATGTTTAATTCTCACGTGTAAGTGGGTATGAATAATTTTTTTTTAATTAATATTAACATTTTGTTCACCTTCTCTTGTTTCTCCATTTTTATTTACTTAATAATAGGAATGTGTATTTTATTTGTTGGTATTTTAGTAAGAAAAGGAAAGTAATGTTATTTAGGTAATGTCTAAATTGATTTTATTTGAAAAAACTCACATTCGATCGAGTTAGGTTGCATTTGGGTATTGAATTTTCTTTCACAACTTACTCTCGGGTTACATAAGGTTGCAATTTGGTTCCTCCATCTACTTTTTTATAAATAAGAAAGTCGTGATCCCTCTTGTGTAAATCATAATGGAAGGCTATACAAGATATTTGTCTATAATAAAAATTAAATATGATGCATATAGTAAACGGTAATGGAAGGTAAAATATCCTCAATCATGCAAGATATTGTAAGCACGAGAAAGCTGTTACACGGCTTTTCCATCATTTACAGCTTTTAACTCACCAGAAGCTAGCTGCAATTGTGAAGAATTGAGTGGAATCGACATGATGAGGTTCCGGTCCCTCCTTCAACCGATATAGGACCAACATTTGCTGAATTTTGGGCATGCGGCATATCATTCACAAGCAATGGAAATGGATTGAATGGTGAATACCTCATGGTTTTGTTCTTCCCACAAGAGGTATTCTAAAGTGATCTTGAATATTCAGCTGCAGCACTGAAGGCAGACACAAGGGCAGGCATCACAACAACCTGCGACCAACTTCTTCTAGTCCTAGTAGCAATTGCAGCTCCTCCGACCGCACCCGCAAATCGATCCATTTAGCTGCCAAATGGGGGGAAAACAAAACAAAACAAAAAAGAGATTAAAAGATTCATTTCCAAGAGTTTCTCTTAACATAGTGTCTAAATAGTTAGTATTTCTGGCATCATAATCGTTCGCCCAAGCGAGGATGAAGTATTCAATCAAAGATGAAAGCAAAAAATCACCTGTTTACCAAACATACATTCGCAAAAAGACACTGCATATCTCATATCCTAATAGTTGTGAGCCAAGCAATAGGTGTTGAATATAAGATATGCAACAACTAAGGACCAAACTTCTTCAATCAAGAAACCCGAACCTTCATCCAGAGAAAATGAGGCAAAAAAATGCCAAACAAATGCATGTACCAACAACATAAGACAGGCCTATAAAAACGGCTGCCCAAAAAAGGATGCCAACCAGAACCTAACCTACAAGAAAAACTCCAATCCAAAAGAGTACAGGCCTAACAGATCATCTCAAGAACTCTAAAGACACGAACACCCACGACCAGACATAAACCCCACAAGTATCGAACCTCCTCTCGGCACGCCAAAGAAAACTGTAAGTCTCCATGCATTTTTTTAGAACAGGAAACAGTTCAAGTATGATACGGCAAGTCTCAACATATTAAGCAGCAACTATATTTTTCTTTTAAACAAGATACATTAAGGCACAATAAATTCTCAATGTAAATATAAGTCTACATAAATGGTTGTCGAATTCCAGAGACAATTATGACTTGTGAGGTTTCATCTACCAAGAGACAACAATAATAATTCCAAGTTAAAAGGTATTTCTTTCTCCAGCCACAATTGCAACGGGATTGGAGAAAGCTCGTCACATAAATGAATCGGGATTTCTACATAAGTTTTTAAATGTGTATTTCATGAACCTTAACTTTTACGTAACCAAAAAATAAGGAAGAATAACAATAAAACTACTAACAAAAGCTTTAAGACACATTTAACATGATCAACTCTAACAAGGGGAGTGTTCCTCTACGGTTAAATGATATCATCCAAATCCTTGCTAGTGTCGTTTATACTTCTGTATGCCTGTAAATATACACTCTCCCCCAAAAAATACTCAGGTGGTAAGAATTGAGCTATTCCTGGTCAACCTAGACAACCTTCACTCAAAATCCTGTTAAAATTTAAGAGATACCCAAATAAATATTTTGAAAGTAGCTGCAAAAATGTGGCTCATGCATAATTAGGGTGCAGGTATAACACAAATCCATATATGCTTATCATAAGTTGTGTGTGTGTGTGTGTGTGTGTGTGTATATATATATATATATTAGATAACCTCTAGTTTCTAGATACACAAAGCATTCAATAGAAATTGAGTCAAGTTCTGGGAATGCAGCTAGGTGTCACAACATGCTTGTCCAGGGGATGTTGCCATGGCCGCATGCCCTTACATGGCAACCTTCACAGTGGATCACATTCAAACAAATGAAAATGGCGAAAACGAATAATTTCGTGAGTGTAACTAACCCAATCATTCTTCCTTCTATATCTTTGAATGCCACAGTGAGTCAGAGTAAAAGTTGCAGAACAATCTATATCTTTAGCTACTTCTTCGACCAGAACAAAACCAAGCAAAAAAATCAGCCACAAACACAGCCTAACAATCTATAAAGGCCAAAACGCTAAGACAATCAACCATTACCACATTGAAAGCCGTATATTCCAACAGATTTCGCCTGAAAATTAGACCACAAAGACACTATCAAATCGGACAAACGCCATAATGCTACCATCTCATCCAAATAGTCGGAAATCAAAGCAAAATAGCAAGAATATGGTACCACGAAAACAGCATGGTCGACGCCACTGAGGCCTGTAAGAGAGAAAAAGAAAGAAATGAAGAAGAGAAATTGCAAAGAAGAATCAAAGGAATAAAGGGTCCATACACAAGCCCCATAGAGCGCCGGCCTGAACATGAGCAGGGAAAAACGATTCAGATGGAGAAGTTATAGAAAACGAATCATAGTTCAAGAAATTGTTCGTGAAGTTCACCGTTCCGACGCGAATGGTGGATTCGACGGCGAGGGAAGAACATGGAACGACGCCGTTGAGCTCGTTTCCATCTTTCAATTCTCAAGTTCCATCGGGAGTCGTATGCAGAGTAATCAAAATGTAATCAAAATTTGATATAATTGAATTTAGTGAGTTTTTTAAAAAAATAATTTTTTTTGTTTATAATAATAAAAATAAATCCACATTTCTAAATGGATTAGTTTTACAATATAAAATTAATTTGGATTCTTGAAAGAACGAGGCTATTTTTACAAATTCGAATTAAAATGGGCTATTTATGCTTAAAGAAGACCTTTCTTTTAGTCCTTCGTGCTTTTAAACTACTCAAAACCCTAAATTGAGCGCCGTTTGTTCTATACATCTTGAGGAAGTTAGGGCGCCAAGCTGCAGAGCAGAAGCAAAAATGAGCCGTGGAGCAGCCGCGTCCGGTGGCCCGAAGGGGAAGAAGAAGGGCGTGACCTTCGTTATCGATTGTGCGAAGCCAGTCGAGGACAAGATTATGGACATCGCCTCCCTGGAGAAGTTTCTTCTCGAGAGGATCAAGGTCGGCGGCAAAGCTGGGGCACTTGGTGACGCTGTCACCGTCACACGTGACAAAAACAAGATCACCGTCAACTCCGATAGCAACTTCTCTAAGAGGTACCGAGTATTTTGTATTTGTTAATCCTTGTATTATTCTGGTTTTGTGACGATGTCTACGGTTCTGGATGATTATTATCCGTGCATTTGTTGAATGTTTGGGAATAAGTGTCGGATTGCTCCGTTAGTTGCTGCGGCAGTACTGAGAATACAAACGTTTTGCGGATTGATCGTTGTCTACTGTGATTTTGTTGGAAATTTGTCACATATAGTATTGAATTGTGGAATTGATGAAAATTATTGGGGTTTATTGTACGAATTAATCTTGAAATTTCAGCCATTATCTAGTGTACACGGGAAAGCTACTTCTTTAAGAAGTACTCGTTATCTCATACTAGTTCTTCCTCTTCGTGCTGTTGATATTGAAATTGAGATTTCGAGTGCATTCTGATTTCTGTGTCATTTTTATTTTCTCGTTTGTGAAGTTCCTAAATCTATAGACTTTAGGTATGGTTTCTCTTTGTTACGGGGATGTGGAATTTTCTTTGGAATACACCTCTGATCTAATTGTATGGGGAATGCGTTATCTAATTAGTCACCTATTGTAGTTGTAACACTGTGTGTATCTGTTCTTATCTGTTTATTCCCATTCCTGTTTAGGATTGACCTTAGAATTATATGTACTAGTTTTGAATGAAAGATGGTGATCGTCACTCTTAAAGTTAAAGATTGTTTTGTTCATAAACTCCTAACGAACTGAACTGAACTGAACTGATTGTTCTCTCTTTTGAATCCCAGGTATCTTAAATACCTAACTAAGAAGTATTTGAAGAAACACAACGTTAGAGATTGGCTTCGGGTTATTGCTTCGAACAAGGACCGCAACGTCTATGAATTGAAGTACTTCAACATTGCCGAGAACGAGGGCGAGGAAGAAGACTGAGGCTTAAGTCTTACAAATTGGGAGCATTTGTTTGCAGTAGGAAGGATTAGTTGTAGCAGCCTTTCTCATTTTGAAGGTTGTTGAAATTATATTTCCATACCTCGCCTTGAATTGAGTTATACTATGAGATGATGAGATGATGAGATGATGCAACTCTTGTTTAATTCTGAAGTCTTAATATCTATAAATTTTGATCACGTAGTGTTCCCTTCTGTTGGTTGGTTTGAAGATATTCTCTTCTTTGCTTCTTTCCATCTTTTCCATCTGTTTAATAATGTATTTCTTAAAATTTTACCGTTATTAACAATCAATTAATAAAAAGCATTTTTTAACCATTCAAACACTATGACTATATAATATATAATAGAAATTTCGAGATTGTAACCTTAAAACTAAAAACAAATTAGAAATCTATCAATTGAATGTTCATTACAAATATATTTTTCAATTGGCCGTTTTAATAATATCTCTAAATAAACTACAACCACAAAAGGTGGAAATGACCTGTTGAGAATTTATCATATAATAAAATTAAATGAAGACGGCGAAAATCATTTAGTTTTAATCTGACAATTAACTTTTGAACCTATAGTATGGCAGGGTACGCCAGGCCCATGCTATAGTGCAACGCATGGGCGACGTTCGAGAGCCCCAGTAGCAAGCTACTGTAGTGGACCCTCCCCCTTGAAAAATTAATTTAATATCATGTGGGCCGATGGCCCACGTATCAGATATTAAACTGATAAGAACAGATACTACACTTGATCTTAGCCAAAAGGCCGAGAAAGGTATGAATTGTCCAGCGTTCCACCAGCGTATTTATAGCCTCCTGCTCTCTCCATTTTCTGGAACTAATCGATGTGGGACAAAGTCCTCTGAATATTCATTCATGTTTTGCATTCTGCAATCGCCCCTCAAATTACATGCCCAACTTTTTATTTTAGAAGCCCTTTGATCACTGTGACAACTACGTAAACTCATAGATCGTGGTTTGAAATTCAAGCTCATATGGTATGATTTGCGTAAAGATTCAAGCTCAATCTTTCATCACATAGTTCCTTGTCTCCATGTTCTTTTTCCATTCCTAGTTTGAGATAAAATTGATCTATCTTAGTTTGTACAAGAAAAATAGAAATAAAAAAATTGAATATTCAACTTTTTCAAACGTTACGTGGTCGAAAAAAATTTAAGATGTTCGACAAGTTTATTTGAAGAGTTAGGTGTCACAATCACACTCTTACAATAAAGAGACAATGATTGTACAACACTTATTCTAACCCAGAAATCAAATCAATCGTGAGAAATTCGGATTTCACGAACAACGTTTGAGATAAATGTTTTGGAAACGTTAGCAATAAAATACATTGAAAACAATTTGAAAAAAAAAAACAATGTTATAAGTTAAAAATGAGTAAGCAACAACAAACGTATGTGATTGCATATAATCCAGGTAGAAAATGTGACAATTAGTCATATCCTCTTATAGTACACTTTGGGCATTTTAGCCCTAACGGGTGTATACATTATTTTAGTAAACAGTCATACACCTTCATATTGTAGACATTAGTCATACACCTTCATATTGACACAATATGAAATAGTAAAGGCCTATCTAAGATGAAAACATGTAAAAAGGGTTTGGAAGAGGCATGCAACTATTGTTGTCCATGGACAAGCATGATCGGGACATCCGACATGCGGTCATAGACAACACGCCTTGGACAAACATGACAGTGACACTAGGTACGGACAAGGGTCGAGGAAGCCGTGCAGCTGGCATAGAAAACAACATTTACAAAGGCCAAATGTAGGGGTAATTCGAAAGATCAAGAGGATATGCCTGCTTTTGAAACCTCCCTAAGCAAGGGCGGCCGTGGAAGCCGTGGCTGGAGAAGGATTAGGCTGTCGTTTTTTTGTTGAATTGCATTTCTTGGTAATGAATCTGCAATAGATCAACAATTGGGTGTGCACTAATATAGTGTTTCAAGAATAAAACCACAAGGATTGCTTATTAGCTCACACCAACTGATCAGCTTTCAATACAGAAATGTACAGATTTAGATGCATAGATTTGGGCCTTACCTGAAGAAGTCCCTCCATAACAACTCAAACATCACCCAGTTTGTTCCAGTGTCATAGCCACCATCATTTTTCCTGTTAGCACACATAAGAAGATCTTCTCAACAACTAATGTGCCTCAAAAGGAAGATGAAAGAGGTGGGGGATGTGCACCTGGAAACAGTTTTGTTTAACTTGTCGAACACCGAGCGAGGTGAGATGCAACCCATGGTTAGCCATGGAGAGATTTTGTTTGAAAAGGTAGCACCATATATGCTACTTTGAGCACCGTTGTTCGTCGTGTTCGGTCGTTGGGCTCGGCACTCAGCTGCATATGTTTTAAGCCTATGAAGTGCTTCAGTCTCCCCTCCCACTTGAGGAGTATTAGGAGCTAGCCATCCTTCCTACATGAAGAAGTTAACAATGTTGAGATATTTCAAGAATACTCTCCTGATGTATTCCCAATTTTGAGTTAGTCTATTGGGAAGAGGTTTCCACACTCTTATAAGGAATGTTTCGTTCCTCCCTCTAACCAATGTGAGATCTCACAATCTACCACCCTCTTTGGGGGCCCAACGTCTGGCTCTGATACCATTTGTAACAGCTCAGGCCCACCACCGCTAGTAGTATTGTCCACTTTGATCTGTTACATATTGCTATCAGTCTCACATTTTAAAATACATCTACTAGAAAGAGGTTTCCACATTTTTATAAAGAATACTCCATTCCCCTCCCCAACCAATGTGGGATCTCACAATCCACCCTCATTGTGGGTCCAGCGTCCTCGCTGGCACACCACCCGACGTCTAGCTCTGACACTATTTGTAACAGCTCAAGCACACTGCAAGCAGATATTGTCCGCTTTGGCCCGTTGCGTATCGCCATCAACCTCACAGTTTTAAAACACATCTACTAGGGAGAGGTTTCTACATCCTTATGAAAAATGTTTCGTTCCCCTCTATAACCGATGTGAGATCACACACTTGTTATACACGATTCAAAAAGTTGTAACCTACTCCCAACCAAGAAACCATAGCCCAAACAGCACAGTGGAAGGTCAGTCATCATGCAACTAAAGACCATCACAATGTAACAATTTTGAGTGAAAAAAATAAGATATTAAATGAGTTTATCTAATGTTCTTCTCATTCAACCAACCATGAACTTCCGGGTTAAAATTAGCAATTAGATCAACTATTAAACACAACAGCACAACAATCCTCCTCTTCAGCCAAAGAATCAAAACAAAACGAAATTCAAGCAGCTATGAACAACAGGAACAGGAACAAGAACAAGAACAAACCTTAGACATAGCCACAGGTTGATTGAGATTCAAATCAGACAAAGAAGGGATGTCCCCTGGCTCAACATCACCACGAGAAGGCAACCCCTTCATCTTATCCAAACCTTCAATCATCTTCCTCACACTTAATCCTTGAATTTGCTCTTTAAATTCATCATGGCTCGACGGCATATCCTCTATTTTAAACGGAATATCATCAATATGATACAAGGTGCTTCCCCAAAAGTACTTCACCTCAACATTCTCTTCCTTCATCGCACACTCTACCCTCTCCTCCATCTCCATTTCGTCCTGCGAAACCTCGTAATGAGCATACACTGCATCAGCCCCAATTTCCCTAGCCAATTCAACAAGAACAGTTTCAGGTTTCCCAATTCGAACAACAAGATTAGAGCCTCTCGCCTGGAGATTCTTCCGTAAATCCGAGACCGATTCAATCACAAACGTGGCTGACGACGATTTACCGTAATCTCTCGGATCGAAACAGTAAACAGGCAAGACGGACATGGAATCGTTATTAGCGGAGTTTAGGCATTCGTTATCGTGGAGCCGTAGATCGTTACGGAACCAAACGATGGTAGCTCGACGAAATCCGGCGCCATGGGAGGGCTGTGAGGGGCGGCGAGGGCCTAAAGAAAAAGGGATTTGAAATGGGTTCGCAGAAATGGTGGGTTTGAGAGAGATTTTTGGGGGGCAGAGAGAAGAACAGGAAATGCGTAAGCGAGAAAGCGAAAAAGCTTGAGTGGGAACTTCATCCCTCTTAGGCCGCCGAGAAAACAACCCAGAAAATTTGGTTTGGTCGAGAAAATTGGCCGTTGACTGAGACAGAGCGAGTGAAGCGACGGCGAGCTGCGGCGAGTGAACTGGAACGGCCGACGCTCGGTCCTCCGATGAGTTAGGTTCGGAATTTTCGATCACGTTGGCGCTGCGATCCATGATTGTAGCTTGATTTTGATGAGAGCTTCAACAATTTTGCATCGCTCGCTGCGTGTGAGGGGATTTGGAGGGAGTTGGTGGAGTGAGCATTCTTAATTTGAATGTCTTAAAAAAGTACGGCTGCTCCTGTCGCTGGTGAACATCGGCCGTCGCGTTGATATTTAATTTATATTCCAAAATTTTTAATTTAGGTTATTCAATTTATTTAAATAATAACAAATAAAATAAGAGTATCTAACATTCTACTAATTTTAGCTTTACATATTTGACCTTAAATAATATTTTGTCTAAGCAAAGATAATACAAGCAAAACCATGTCCAATGAACTTTTCTCGTATAATGCTACGAATTTAGTCCTCTCGTGAGTATAATAGTCCAAGCCCACCACTAGTACATATTATCTATTAGGAAGCAACTTCCACTCTTATAAAAAAGATGTTTCGTTTGCTTTTCCAACCGACATGGGATCTCACAATCCACCTCTTAGAGATCCACCGTCCTCGCTAGTACTTGTTTCCTTTTTCAATTGATGTGGGACCCCAGTCCACCCTTTTCGGTGCCAACATCCTTACTAGCACATCGTCACATGTCTACTTCCTTCAAGGTTTAACCTCCTCGCTGGCACATCGCAGCTCTGATACCATTTGTAACAGTCAAAGTTCAACACTACTAGATATTATTCGCTTTGACCTATTACATATCATCATTAGCCACACGGTTTAAAACGCGTTTGTTGAGAAGAGGTTTCCACACCCTTATACAAAATGTTCGTTTCACTCTCCTACCGATGAGGAGTTTCTCGATTCTTCTTGACTACAGGCTCCGACTTACCATAATGATTTAATTTATTTTATAAAAGTATATTAGAACAAATAAACTAATAATAATAAATAATAAATTACCTGCATGAAGAAGCAAAGTTGGGCGGAAGGCATGGAAGGTGAGAAAAAGGTGAGGAAGGCATGTTGGAGAAGGGGAGCACGTGCAAATGGGTTAGAAATGGCTGAGCTTGCACGTGCCCTGCTTCTCCAGCAAGAGCTTTCTCACCCACTTGGTCCAGAACAAAGCTATGAAGAAGGAAGAAGAAAGGATTGGATATTTATAAATAAATCTTTAGGGTTTGAAGAGAGAGAGATAGGATGGAGAAAACATGTTTGGCATGGCATGCCATACCCCTCATTATTATGATATTTATAAGTAATGCAACAAATTCAATTCATTTCCGTTCTACTAACTGATAACTGAGCGATACCGGCCATTTCCTTTCCGACACATTATCCTTATTGTCAATAGCAGATTTGAACCGGTAATACGAGGATTTTCAGTCCCCTGCTCTACTAACTGAGCTATACCGGCCATTTCCTTTCCGACACATTAGACGTATTTATTTTCATAGCAAACCCGTGAGAAGAAGATTTGTAAAAAAAAAAACGTACCTCATTCTTTCGGATTTGAATTTAGTTTCTATATAGTTCCTGAATTTTAAAAAATAACATTTTTCAAGTATTGTAACGGTCCAAGCCCACCGCTAGTAGATATTGTCTTCTTTAGACTTTTTCTTTTGAGTTTCCTCTCAAGGCTCTAAAACGCGTCTACCTTACGAAGGATGTTTCGTTCTCCTCCCCTACGATTGTGGGATCTCACAAGTATAGTTTGTTTACACTCATGTGCATCATACGAAAATTTATAAGAAATCATCCAACATAAAATTGCTTAAAAAAACACGTTGAACTGTTGAGTTCTTATGATTGAGTTGATATGTGTATTAACTTTCATTTTTTTAAAGTTTGTTTTAGTTATTATATATTCAAGATGACTCTTATTCAAATATAATTTCAGTTCATTCGTATACTCATTTTTTACTCGGGTGGGATACCAACAAAGGTAGGAATTAGAAGTACGAGCATTAAGAAAAGAATCTTAGGACACTTCCGGCCATGGCTTAGAGTCCCCACATCCTCGTGTGTATTATATGATATGAGAAAGTTTTTATTATTACGAGAGAATCAGATTAGTCTTTTTCAGTATCTTTATGAAAAATTAATGATATTTAATATCGTTAGATGATATATTATTAAAAAAAAAATAGTTCAAATTAAAAGAAAAAGAGTATAAACACTCTATAAGAATAGTACGGAAACGCTTACGAAAAGTTAAAGGGTAATATTGTAATTTTTTTTTAAAAAAAGGCGTATTTTTATAATTTAGGAAGAATAGGATAGATTGAGAGTGAGGTAAGAGTGGAATGTAGAGGGAGACTTGTGAAGGACAAGCGTGTTGGGTTTTACAAAGGGACATGTTTTGGTTGTAAGAGAAATAAATGCTTTGTTGCGAAGGAACAAACAACGTTGTTTATTGTTTTTTACAAGCAAAGTTTCATGAACATGTTTCACTTTTTATAGAGGAGAAGAACAGCGACAGAACTAAAAAAGGGCCGTACTTGTTGTGTTGTGTTGGGTTTCAAATCTTGGTCCCTGCGATTCATTGCATTCTACAAGAATAATGGGTTGCTTGTTGCCCATTCATACATCATTCCTCCCTCTGCATTTTCCTTTTTCTCCTGTTTTGCAAAAAGAATAGTGAAGTGTTCGATTTTTCTTATCTAGTTATGTTCGTATGATTCGAGGTTAAATTTTTTAGTAAGCTTATTACGTCACACGTGAAGTAGAAAAATTCGAATGGATAAGAATGTTCTAATTTTTGGCATTATGGTCAATAAATTTCCTTTCTTTGGTTGAGAATGAAACATGTTATGTACGCTCGCTCACAACTTAACTAAATAGAAAAACAAAAAATTCCTTAGTGTGAAATATTTTCCCTAAAAGATGCGTTTTGAAATTGGAAGGCTGACGGCTATACAGAACGAGCAAAAGTGAATCATATCTATTAGCGGTAGGTTTGAGCTGTTCCAATAGTATCAAAGCTAGACACAAAATAGTGTGCTAGCGAGGAGACTGACCTCCAAAGAGGATGGATTGTGAGAACCCACATCAATTGGAGGGAAGAACAAAGCATTTCTTGATGTGAAAACTTTTCCCTTCCAGACACGTTTTAAAACCGTGAAGCTAATGACAATACATAACGGACTAAAAAAGACAATATCTACTAGCGATGAGCTAGAGTTGTTACAACAACTATGAAATATCTGTTTTTCTTGAGACCAAACCGTTCAATCCACACTCATATTTGTAATATACTAAAAAAACGTGTCGATTAGGATTACGGTTAAAGGAAATCGGTTGAACTAAAATTTGAAAACTTGGTGGGAGGAGATAGAGAGACGAGATCTTTATTTCTTCTTTTAACAATATTACATCACATAGATTACTTTTTGCTCCCCTAATCACTCACCGTAAGATAGCGTCACTGCCAAAGGATGGGACACTGGCAGATAGAAATGGGCAATGCCCGTGCTGCCCGTCAGCGTTTAAAATTGAAAGTCACTTGAAGAACATAGCGCATCCTAATTTGATCCACATTGTACACTATATACTCATTATACAATAAGGCACCCTGAGAGAAGAATCAGAGACCACTATTTAGGCTAACATTTGTCCATAATCAATTAACGATGTGAAAGATAAAAAGAAACTGATTTTCGTTCGAAACATGGAAAACTAATCTGTGAATTACTGAAAAGACAAAATGTAATAGCCCAAGTCCACCGCTAGCAAATATTGTCCACTTTGACTCGTTATGTATCATCATCGGTCATACGGTTTTAAAACGTGTCTGCTAGGTAGAGGTTTCACACCCTTATAAGAAATGCTTCGTTCCCCTCTCCAACCGAGGTGGGATCTCACGATCCACTTCCCCTTGGGGCGCAACGTCCTTACGATGCTGATAATATTTGCTAGCGGTGGGCTTGGGCTGTTACAAAAAACTATACCTTACGATGTTGATCCTTTTTTGGTTTTCCCAAGGGAACGAAAATGCCATCATCAAGCGTAACACCTTCGGAGGGGTTCGGTTCAGTTTGTCCAACTCCTTTTGTGCTGTAATATTAGGCATTATGTTATGACTTGCTATCTTTAGATTAAGCAAATGTGACCATGGGTTTAGTTTTATCTAAGACGTCAGTCTCATAACTAGGAGGCAAGTGAAAACATGGAACTTATAAATGAGAGAACTAAGGGCCATTTTTGTTACCTATTTCTTGTTTTTACTTCAAAATTTCAGAGAACAAGAAACAACTTAGAGATTTCGGACAGGCAACAAACCTCAGCTTCCCCTCGGGCAACTTGTCAGCGTCGTAGTTTGCATCTAGAAGTTCAACCATGTCGCCGAGCGCAACCTAGGATTTCAAAGCTAAACAATTTAGGACATTTAATCATGACAATGAAAGGCAAACGCAATCTTCATAGCAAGGATAAATGATAAATAAACTTAACATAACTACTAAGAATGGGGTAAGCATAACTACTGGAACTCAAATCACATTTCCAGAGCCAACATTTCAATCGGCATATGATCCGAGCTTCTTTGGAGCTGTTACCAACTTCCAAATAGCCATAAAAGGACAACATGACATCCAAAAGCCAGAGCTCAAACAGATTACAGGTTAATATGATGCATAAACTCAACCTTCCATATGTTTTGTTGAGAATTGTTGGTTGGGAGTCCGATATCGGTTAATTAAGGAGATGATCATGAGTTTATAAGTAAGGAATACATCTCCATTGATATATGAGATATTTTGGAGAAACTAAAAGTAAAGCTAGAAGAGCTTATGCTCAAAGTGGACAATATTTTACTATTGTGGAGATTCGTGATTTCTAACATGTTTCAGTAGTAAGACGAAGAACAACCTCACATAAAAGCAGAACACCTGTTGTGGCGGCATTAGATGCATAACAATAGTTTGCACTTTTTGAGAACATATCAGCAAAGTAGACCCCCTTCCCGAACATATAACCTGTTACAGGTGCTTCAGGTGGAGCTATGCGTAAGCCTGGTAAGATGTTCAATTTGCATTAATCATTCTGTGGTTAGATGAGCAACCACAAATGAAAGTCAAGTAATCAAACTAAAAAATGAAGACCTTGGGACAGAATGCCAGTCCAATTTGTAAGCCGAGAACCATGCCACAAGAGCTTCCTGTTCTTTGTATTCGAAAACTATTCACAGTGTAAAAGATAATAATCA